GTGGGGGGGGGTTGCAACAACAAGGAAGAGAGCACCTGCCTGAAATGATGGCAAATAGCAAAGAAGCTAATGCTTCCCTGTTTTTTTTTTAGTATTCCGACAGCTGCTGCTTTTTTCCCTGACATCGGGGCCACCGGCTGCCGTCAGTCAGAAAAAAAAAAAAGGCATAGGAATTAATAGCTAGATTGCTATTGGCTATTTCAATTTGCAATAGCCAATAGCAAGCTGGCTATTGCACCCGCCCTCTTCTGTCAGTCAGCAGAGGAGAACCTGATGGAGAACTTCAGGTCCTCCTCTGCTGATTGACAGCAGCAGTGGGCGGGTGCAATAGCTAGTCTGCTATTGGCTATTGCAAATTGAAATAGCCAATAGAAATCTAGCTATTCATTTCTATGCCTTTTTTTTCCTAAATGACGGAGGCCAGTGGCCCCGATGTCAGGGAACTAAAACAACAAAAAAAACAGACAGCAGGGAAAGGTTTACTCTGCTAGATAAAGCAAAGTAAACCCTTCCGGGAGAAAATGTTTCTCTCCTGGGTGTCCGGGAGCCGCTATCTAATAGCGGGAGACTCCCGGGAACATCCGGGAGAGTTGAGATGTCTGCCAGAGTTCAGCTTTAAAGGAGATGTGAAACGACTACAATTCACATTTTGCCCTGAGTACAGTAGCGAAGAGTTGCAATTTTACTGATGTCTTCCTCTGCACTGGGGAGATCTTCCCTGACTTCCTGTGTGGTCATCAGCGTGACACCATTTTATACCTACAGCCATCTAACCTTCAAATGCGAAGCGATAGAAGACGTTGGCGATGTCATTCACCATGACTCCTGAGGGCGTATCTTTCCTCAAGACATCCAGTGAGCTCAGGAAGTCGGTCACCACCTCGTTGATGGCCCCGGTGTACAGAGCGGCCTCTGCAGGCTTCAGCATCCTCTTGTTGAGCACAGTGCGCAGCGTGTACCAGCGGTGACCCTCCCTGTGGAGATGAATACAGTTATTTTCCCAATGCATTAGTGCAAAAAATTATTCAACATTTCTTTCCCTGACTGAACCAAAACCTTCTTTATTTGTGTCTCACACGCAGACACTACAGCCTGACGTGTGCCTTTCTAGCTGTATATGGAGCCAATAACTTCTGAGCCAATGACCTGGAACAATCATGCAAGTTAATAAGAATAGTCAGAACTTCTGGCTTAAACTGTTGGTTGTGTTGAAAACTGCCGGTTGTGTGTTTAGATGAAGCACAGAGATCTTGAGGAATGGTGAATTAAGTTTTACTTGCTGATAAGAAGATTACATCTGAATACAGCATAGTAAGGAAAACATATAGATAAAAGAACTTCCTGTGTATCATACACAAACATGCATAAGCATAAAGACTAATATTGCACTACAGCGCCATCTACAGCTCAAAAGACATCATTACAGTCGGTAATACATTGGGTATGCTGTTGCGTTTCCAACAAAAACTTGTTCCTTGTTCACTCATGCGACTCATTCTGTCATGTGAGCTCCATCTCCTTAGCTCTCTAAACAACCTGCTGTTTTTAACAATGTAGTTATGATGAGACCCCTACAGATGACAAAGAGCCAGCATAAGCATTTATAACTCCGTGTCAGTGAACGTACTCGGTTAGAGGACCACAGGACAGGTTCCTAAGGTACCGGTAATCTTTCCAGGGGTGCTTGTCTGCCCTCATTGGGTACTTCCCCTCCTGTCTCAGCAACGTCTCCAGGAGATCCGCATCTGTTATTTGGACTATTTTAAGCATTCCAATAGAGGATTTATATATAGGCCCATATTTCTTCTTGAATACGTCCTGCAGGACAGGAATCAAAGAGAGACATAACTGTTAAATGAATAAAGTGAATGAAGTGTGCAACAAATATTTGCAGGCTTCAGTCATGCAGGAGCTCCAAAAACACAGAGCAGAACTTTACTATCAACTTTTGACACCAGGCAGACAGGGCCGAATTTACTCTCTCTGCTGCCCCAAGGCCAGGTTCCCCAATGCGCCCCCCTCCACGCCATTATTATTTAAAGTGTAACGCCAAGCCAATAGCTAGGAATAGAGGCATGTGATGTGTTTTTCCGCCAGAGATTTGCAAATCTGCTCTGCTGACCTAGCAATTTATATCTGGAAAATTGCATAACCAGCAGGATGAAAGCTCTGTTGTGCCTCTACAATGTCTTGTGTGCCAATGGACTATAAAAAATTAACAAAAACCTTAACACGATGATAGCGGGGTTGTAGCAGAAGCATTTTGTGTTCACATGAGTTGGGGCAGCAGAACAAAACACGCATACAACGTGTAACCATTGTCCTGTTATGACAGCAGTCACATGACTTGCAGATTTCCAGTACTGGCAAACACAATAATAAAAAAAACTTACAAAATAAAAAGCAAAATCACAGCAAAATACAAAGCTGGCACACATTGTGTTGGAGAAAACAAATCATGCAGATGGCTGATTGCTTATTTAGGAAGTGATCTATCCTCAGACACTGCTCCCAACTGGTTGAATGTATTATCTAATAGGAGCATTTCTATATCAGTGTGACCAGTGGGTCGGCAATATATCTACTAGTTGAATCTTGTGACTGGTAGATCTTGACACTGTCATGAATGCTGCCTTACTTACTACTGACCCCTGCACTGTAGGTTCTATACTACTGACCTCTGCACTGGTGGGTTATATACCACTGACCCCTGTACTGTGGGTTATATACTACTGACTCCTGCACAGTGGGTAACATCCCACTGACCCTTGCACTGTGGGTTATATACTCCTGACCCCTGCGCTGTGGGTAACATCCCACTGACCTTTGCACTGTGGGTTATATACTCCTGAACCCTGCACTGTGGGGTATATACTACTGAACCCGACACTGTGGGTTATATACCACTGACCCCTGCACTGTGGGTTATCTACTACTGAACCTGACACTGTGGGTAACATTACACTGTCCCCTGCACTGTGGGTTATATACTACTGACCCCTGCACTGTGCGTAACATCCCACTGACCCTTGCACTCTATGTTACTTACTACTGAGCCCTGAGCTCTGCATTACTTGCTTTTAAACCTCTGAACTTTATATATGTAATTGAAGTTTCTCACTAACGCTAAAAAGATATGTAAATATATTTTTACAGTGTCATTTGTATTATTATCTTTTTTTAAGTCTTCTGCAAACCGTCTTTATTTTTAAGGCTTCATTCACACGGCCACTTTGGGCTGTACACTGGCCAGATGAGGGTGTTTCTGCGGTGTGCATGCCTAGGTGCTTGTGGATAGCTGTGGCTGCTGTACAAGTCAATGACAGGCTGATCAGCTTTGCAGCTGTTCCCATGTAATCGCATATGGAGCAACTACCTACGGCAGACAGTTTATATTCAGGGATGCTGATCTGTCCCTAACAGCAGGTAATTGCTCCATGTGTGAACAGCAGTGAACAACTGCATAGCCTGCAGAGCGGCCACATCTGACCACAAACACCTGGGAAAAACCGTTGCCGCGATACTCTGGGAGTTGTACAGCTTAGAAATAATTATTTTGCTATAAGAGTAGTTAACTATTAGAACTGACTTCCAGCAGAGGTTGCGAGTCAGCCAACAGGAAGCAAATTTATACATGACCGGGACAAGATCTATACTCAGGCATCAAAGAGTCTGCTTCTTCAGGAGGTTACCAGGAGGTAAATTAATGTGTATGTGACATCACTAAGTCTGTGTCCAAGCATTGGTGCCTTACAGGGGGTTGTAGTAAATTAAATCATCTAATGATAACCCAACTGGGCCAACCGTAAGCAGTAACAAAAGTTAAATCCCCTTTAATCTATGGGCAATGAGTCCTAGAAATAAAGTGTTCCTAGATATTAAGTTGCATTCACACAGGTAGTAAGACACAAAACATAGTTGGAGATCAGTTAAGGACTCACCTGTAGTTCATGTGAATAGAGCAGGTAGCCCCGGAGGAAGAACCAGTAGATGTTAGTGAGCAGAGATGGGCCAGGTAAGTCATCAAACGTCTTTACCTTTTTTCCCTCCTCTGCTATTCCAGATGCTGCATCTCCACTCGCTGCTCTGTGCTGCACCCCCCATACCTCGCTCACCACTCTGTGCTGCACCCCCTGTACTCCGCTCACTGTTCTGTTGTGCACCCCCCAAATTCCATTTACTGCTCTGTGCTGCACCCCCCATACTCCGATCACTGCTCTGTTGTGCATCCCCCCTACTCCACTTGCTGCTCTGTGCTGCACACCCCCCACTCCACTTGTTGCCCTGCACCATATCTCATTTACTCCAGTCACCGGTCGGTGCCCTATCCCTACTACTCTGTAGGCCTGGCCTCTGGACCAGCTCAGTGTCAGGAGCCAGGGTCTGAAGAAAGAAGTTATCATGGCTTCAGAGCTGTGTGATGGCGGACTGCACAGCTCTGTACACAATGCACGCCCAGAGAGCAGAAAGGGACACCCTCTAACACTTTCACTGCTGGATGGAAGCACACAGCTATAGTGGTTCTACTGGAACTGCAGCTAAACAGATCTGTTTCCTCTAAATCATGCAGCAGAAGTCATGGGTATTTTTTGACACTTGAACTTTTTTATTGTGAAAAATTGCAGCCTGCACATGTTTGAGTCTTCAGTATTAATGCTGCGTGCCTATGAACTATTGATACATTTATCTTTTAGCTGGGGAAGAGAAGAAACAATTTATATAGTTAAAACGATTATCAATAGAATATCAAGAATACGCTATTAGCATAGCGAGGAAGCCAGCTGCGCATTTTGCATCGTTTCCACTACGCTAATAGCGTATCTTCTCAGAAGCTGCACACAGCGCGCCGGTTTAAGTAGTAACCAGCATACTCTGTATGCAGCTTCTGACAGCGGGAGACGGGAGGCTGGGCTTGTCGGTGGATCCAGGGATCAAGTGAGTATTAAAAAACAAAAATGTTTTATTTTATGTTCCCGGGGACACGTAGGGTTCATTCACACTGGAATTGGCCGGCATGTACAGCTCCGTGCTGCGTGCACAGCCGTATCTGGCAGCTCCCGGGAAGGACAGGTGCTGCGTGTGATTAGTACGCAGCCCCTGTCCTTCTCTATGGGACTACGCGGCCGTACGCCCCCTTACGCTCTAACCCACCATGCACGTCCGTACGGGTGCATGTTTTCTGGCTCGGACGCAGACAGGATCCATCCTGTCAGCATACGGGTACACTCACCTGCACCGACGTGCAGGACGGGTGAGCGCAGGGAGGCGTACGGCCGCGTAGTCCCATAGAGAAGAATGGGGGCTGTGTACTAATCACAATCCCTAGCCGCAACACACCAACTCAGGGACAAGTATGAGAAACTGCAGAGACCTTGTAAAACTAAGACTTAAGGTGCCCATACACGAAATCCCGCGATCGTACGAGAATCGAGCAGTGTGAACGAAGACGTGAGACCGTTTCTACTGTACGGTCGCACGTCTTTTGTCGAACCAACATGCTCGAAAACCCGCCGAGAATCGTACGATTGTCGGCGGGTTTCTAGCCTGCTCGTCCGATAGCTGCGGAACGGGCCGGTGTGCGCACGCGCACACTGCCCGTTCTGCATTGCGGTCATCAGAAGCCCGCCCCTCAGCGGGGCAGGCTTTCGATGATCGCAAGTACGATCTGCCCGTCCAAGGTGGGCAGATCGTACGAGCTTTCAATAAGCATACGACCATCGCAAGACAAAAGTCTTGCGATGGTCGTAAGGTGTATGGGCACCTTTAGACCTCTTTACTGAAGAATCCGCCAAAGACTACGCACCTGAGACGAGTCCCTGTAACCACCAAAATTACTCACCCCTGACCCATGTGCTCTGTGCTTTATGCACTCCTGACCCCTGTGCTCTGTGTCTTTTGGACTCCTGACCCCTGTGCCTTACACACCCCTGTCCTCTGAGGCTTATGCACTCCTGACCCATGTGCTCTGTGCTTTATTGGTCTAACCAATTGGTCTAATCATTGGTCTAACCAAGGTCAGTGACTGACTAAAGGAATGTTCGCCCTCAGAGACCATGTCGGCAGTGCCCCTATACCTGCACAAGTTACACTGTCACAGTTGTATGCAATACGAATTTAGGTCAAGACATCTTTGCAATGGAATATTTTTATTGTAGTGTTCAGCTAATGAGGTAAAAAGATAATTTGTTACATTCGACTACAAGGGGGATTAGATCCAGTTTGAGGTAGTGTCAATTACAGTAAGTGCTTACAATTATGCCACCATCAGTAAGGTAAAGACTAAACTGTGGTAGTAAAGTAAGCAGCCAGGCTGAGCCTTCTACTGTACTAACATCTGATTGGTTGATATGGACGTACAAACCTGTACACAACACCCGCAATGCAGGAAGAGATTGTCAGGAATTGATCTGTGCAACACCGCTACAATAGGAGATATAACTGCACCATTATACCATCCCTATCACCCTCACCCAAAATAAAAGTACAGTTCTGGGTGTAGTTGTTTATTTAAGCCAGGCTTCAAAACCTCTGGTCTGGAAGGAATTAATCCATCTTCCTAGGTTTGCCAATACAGGGGTACCGTGCCCTGCCGGGGTTACGTTTTCATGCTATTACTGACTGTACCATGAATCCCCTCTTCCAACATTGATGTTTCTCCTGCATGTTGGTAGGCAGAGACGTCTTTTCTGTCTCCATAGTGGAAAGATTACCAAGAGGGACATCTTACCAATCATGACGTTAGATTTCTCACATTAGTATTGAAACAGCATCTTATTGCAGCCAAATGATGGCAGTTATCCGTGAAAATTATATCTCAACAATTGATTCTTCTCCCAACATTGATTCACTCATGGGGGGGGCAGGCATATGAAAGTTGTCCTTGGAGTAAACCTCCCACCCCCTAAATGCAGCCCGCCTGGTAGAATACTTATCTTTCTACTTGCTACCATGATCTTTCCCGTGCCCAGGTCCTTCTTCTTTTGCAGGGAAACCGTCCTGCCCAGGTCCTCTTCCTGCTGCACATGCATAGCACAGCCCATTCATTCCAATGGGTGAGCTGTACTCATGGTGGTCTTCAGCCTTCCAGCAGAGTACAGACTATCAATAGGAATGAATGGTGCAGTAGCGGGCAGTAGTGGGAAAAGGACCTGGCAAATACATTTTGCTGGAAAGGCTGTGCAGTGCCAGGCAGGTGGTGGGAGCAGGGTGGAAGGTAAGTATTTAGATAGAGTGGGGAGTGGTCAGAACTCCTATCTGGAAAAAAAAGTTTTGGCCAAGTTTTGAAACATCCTAAAAGAACATTTAAAAGTAATAAATTGTCCTTTAATTTGAACAAACACCTATCCATAACAAATGAGTATGCTATGAGTGAATTAAAGGAGAACTATGAGGTGAGTGCTTTTCACTCACCTCATAGTTCTAGCCAACATTAGCCAACCTGTGACAAAAAGATTTAGCCTTATCAATTAGATCAGCCTTAAAGTGAAAGACGTACCTCAGTGACAAGGTCCACTAATTCAAGGAGGCCCCCTCCTCCCTAAAATGCTAAAAGAAAGTGCAATACAAAAAACCTGTGGAAGGAAGGAAGTGATACAGTATACTTACTTTTCCCCGTCTTCCTCCCGCCGTGCTTAGACAAGGGTGACTTCATCCTCCTTCCTGATAAATCTAGGAGAATGTTAATAGCCCAAATCACTAGAGAAAACAGTCCTGCCCTGCAGAGTCTTCTTGCAAGATTTGGGCTTTTGTTGGCAGGAGGATGAAGACCCCCGGGCACTATGAAAATCAGGGAAAGGGAAGTATATAATCTATTTTATCCCCCTCACAGGTTCTATTTTGCACTTTTATGCAGGTTTTAAAAAAGTGCAAAATCCACTTTAACAATTAAAATCCAGGCATTTGTTAATAAAGTGGGAAAGCTCTGCCGGGTTTTTACCATTGTCTGTATCCTCAGTGGAGAGATTTGCACTCACTTCCTGTGTAGTCATCAGGACAGGAAGTGACAGGAACTCTCCAGTTAGGACACAAACAGAGAAATAGATACAACTCTAATGTTTTCCCACTTTAAACAAAAAGTATGAAAATAGTTTTGTCTGGAGATGGGCTTTAACATGCTACCTTTCTACAAAGTGTATCTTGTGCAAAGTAATTATGTGGAAAAATTGTTTAAAAGAGCTGCAAAATAGATTCATGTGGGGCACTTTAAATATTTCCTTATTCCACCTTATTTAACAAACAGCACAATAAACAATACAGAGTGCGGTAACTCATAGCAGCCAATCAGAATTCACATCAATTAAGTCAGTCCAGTGAAAGTTGAATGCAGATAATTTCTCTCTAATCTTACCAGTTCAGAGAGAAAAAATGGCTGCCTCAGCAGTGTATGAGCTACAGGTCTACTCTAAATGTAATTTAAAAACAATTCCGCCTGAAGTGTGTTGTCAGGTGGAGGTTCGCGGTGTACATTCTAGGATCCCGGCGCCTTCATTCATGTTCCTTCAGGTATGAGGCATGATGCCAGTCACTGTTCAATTTGCCGCCATCTTCCTGAAATGCAGATCATCCTTCTGTAATCTTACCGATGTTCAGAGTGACTTAGAGGAAGTTCTGTTCAGAAACTGGAGATTAATTGGGCGGCTCGGGCTCAGGACGGCCCTGAACATAGCAGAAACCTCTACACTCCCGGGGTCGGGTCTGATCTCATACTTCTTAATAATCTAGGAAACGAGGAAGAGGAAAAATGTATGTTACTGTTTTCTTTCAATAACTCAGCCTGAGCCAAAGGTAGCATTAGACATGTAGGCTGCAAAACAATTTCAGTTCGGTTCGGATATTTTGTTATTTCGGGATCCAGATCTGAAATCTAATTCAATTCGGGTTTCGGATTCGGACAAAATCCAAAGTTTCATTAGTTTTGGATGAGTTTACAAATATTCGTTGCGAATACCACAGAAAACCATCTACAGATATTAATACTAAAGCTGAATCTCCTAGACCCAAATGACCATTCGGGTCTGGGAGCTATGTACCCCCACAGATCATGCAGAGACTCCCTGAGGCCCTGCAGTCTGCCGGATCTCAGGGGGGCTGTGCAGGATCTGTGGTGGGCTTTGCAGGACCCGCCCCATCTCCTGTGTCTGCCCCCTGCTGCTCCGTCCCCGTCTCCTCCTGCTCTACCAAGAAGGGCATTCAGCTAGTGCGTCCGCCCCATCTCCTGTCTCCGCCCCCT